CTTTGTTTTCTCCTCTCTTCCTTTCCTCCTCTCCTATCCTCTCCTCTTGTCGTCCCCCCCCGTTTGGACGTATCAGACTCTCTGGTGGGTTTCTCTCCTGATCTTCGTCTGTTTGGCTCCAACACAAAACTTCCTGCTCCCTCTCTCTCTCTCCCTCTCTCTCTCTCTCCCTCTCTCTCCGTCCCCCCCCTCTCTCTCTCTCTCTCTCTCTCTCTCTCTCTGTCTCTCTCTCTCTCTCTCTCTCTCCCTCTCTCTCTCTCCCTCTCTCTCCTTCAGCTGGAGATTCAGTTTTGGTTCATCGTTGATTAAAGTGGATTAAAGTTTCAGTAACTCAAACCTAAAGACGTATCTGTGTCTGTTTGTCTGTAAAGACACAGTTTGGACTGAATCTATATGAAGTGATGAAGTGATGAAGTGATGTAAGAAGAGGTCAGAGGTCAGTGAGTCCATTTATTCAATCAGTTTTACAGACGTGACGGAAAATGATCCTGATCTTTCCCTTCAGGTAACACTGTGGACGAGGAGGACGTTTCTTCTCTTCTTCTCTTTTGTTCTCTCTCTCCTGATCTTTTCTTTCTCTCTCTGCCGTTTCTTTTTCATCTCTGTCACTCTTTCTTTTTTCTTCCTCCCTCTCTGTAAATTGCTTTGATTTTCCTCAGAGAGCTCGAGGTTTTTGCCGGAACGATTAACTTTAATCGGCGATCACGACCCGTCGAGGGGGAGGCCGAGGAGAGCTACAGAGCTGTTTGTGTTGGCGTTGACACGAGGTGAGGGGCAGTGCACCGAGGGGTGACGGAGACAGATGTTTGAGAGGACGGAGCTGATTCTGATCCTTAAACTACAAAATATGTGTTTCTGGACTGAAGTGTTTTCTTACTCACTGTGATTTATCACGGAGAGATTGTTTAATGACTTTCCCTTATCAACCGTTGTGGTGAATTAGCTCTGAGGCAGAAAGTAGAAAATGTTTATCTTTGTTTGTCTTTCCAGAGACCGAACGTGTCCCGGTCTCAAACCGCTTCGTACGAGACACGTCTGCTCTCGGGACTTTACCTCCGGTGAGCATCAGGGCACATTTGCAGTGGTCACAGTTGTCGTTGTCCCGGTCTCTGGTGCTGAAGCCGGTTCCATGTGTGGCCAAGCTGCTCTGCCTCCCCGCTGAGCCGCTGTAACCTCTCAGGTACAACCTGACGGAGAGGGGGTCAGCTCTCATTACAGTCAAACAGACGTGTGTGTGTGTGTGTGTGACAGGTGAATGTAGCTGTCAGTCACCTGTACTGCTGCTTCTCACTGGCCAGTGTGAATCGGTCATACTGGGAGTGGGCGGGGTTTCCCTCCCAGTCTCTCAGCTCCACCCTCAGAGAGTACTGACTCTGACTGGTGAGCAGGTGCAGGACTTCGTTACCCAGCCAGTGTTCTCCTAACATGTCCCCGAAGCCCTGCAGAGGAGGAGGAGGCCAGCTTCGATTACTGTCAGATTTACTCTCAGATCTTATTTTAAACTTTGACTCTTCGCTCTCACGGGACAGACGCACCGTCTTGTAGTCGCTCCAGCTCTTCTGGAAGTCCACGCTGCCGTTAAACCGCCGCTGGAACACCGTCCACCCTCCGCCGCTCGTCTCCATGTCACAGTACACCTGCAGCAGAAGAAGAAAAACTCTTTCCAGTCACCAGGCACGTCACAGTGTGGAGAGATGATCTGAATCCGTTAAACCAGTGACTTCAGATCTGTTCAAGAGATGAGCCTGAGCTAATATTGGTACTTCTTATAATACACTGTAACTATAAACAGTACTTCAATTTATAAGTGGAAATAGTTAGGATTACTATTTAATGAAAAGAGAATTAAATAGAAGAGCAAACTGTGTTTCTTTCAGCAGGTTTATAAATAATTGTAGAAGCTAAAAGTTCATGACACAGTGTGAAGCAGATTATTGTTTGAATCTCTTCAGTATCTCAGACTCACACACAAACACACTCAACCACAGTCCCTGAAATAAAACCTCATCATGTCGATATCGGGACCTTTAGTCAGAAATATTGGATTTGTTTACGTATTGTCAGTTACTGAGTGACTAATATCTTGTGTTTTATGCTCCTCAGTTCAGTCTCCGCGGCATCAACAGACAGTGACCCCAACAAGTGAGCGACGTGCGTCTCAACGCGCTGGTTCCTTCATCTTATCAAACCAGTTAGTGACAATGATCATCTGGTTCTACAGGATTCTACTGGAGGAAACATCCGACAGAACTTCTGCCCAAACTGATCAATATAACTGACTTCAGAAAACCAGTCAGACGTTACCTGCACAGGTTCAGTCCTGTTGCCGATGTGGATGTGATAGAGACCGCTGACAGAGTGACCGGCCTTGTAAGCATCTGCACAGTCCCTCCACATCTGGCTCCTCAGAGGTGACACTACAGACACAGACACACACACACACACACACACACACACAACGAAAGGCAGAAAAGTATTACTTTCACGTCTAAATACCCACCGTTTGGAGAAAGTGAGTGTGTGTGTGTGTGTGTGTGTGTGTGTGTACCTGTAGTACTGGACACCATGTTAATGAGTGTGTGGACAGACTCCATCAGCAGAGCCTGCTGCCTCTGCAGAGCCGTGTTGTTGCTGCTGGCGACTCTCAGCTGCTTCTCCAGAGAGTCGATGGCCGACATCTGAGTCCTGACCACAGACTGAGAGAGACTCACTGTTTAACAATCATCTGCCTTTCTCTCTTCAGTTCCTTTAAACATCCACAAGTTCTGATTCATATTTAGTTTTTTATGTATTCTACTTTTCACTCATAGATGGTTTGGATTTTGTTTGTATGGATCAATAGAAACTGTAGAATAAATCATCTGCACACATCTGTAGAGGTCAGACATTCGATCATCATCTTGTGCATCTTATAAATGTAAAATCCATCCTGATTTCATTCAGGTAATACGACATGAGCGCTACCTGCAGCCTGTTCTTCTCCTGCTTCATGTCCTCCAGCTCTCCTCTCTGCTGAGACTCCAGCATCTGAACTTTACTCTCCAGACGACTGAAAGACACGAGGAGGAAAGAAAACAGGGTTTAAACACTCCATTCACGTGACTGAGCAGTTTTCTCCATGAATCTCAGAAACAGAAACTCTGCGTGTTTATTATTGTAACCATGACAACCAGGGTCCGGTACACCTGCTGCCACGGGGGCGGTATCTCAGGAGACGCTCCTGTGGGTCGTATCAGAGCGTCGCAACAAACCACCACCTGTTCCAGTTGGACGGACTTCTCGTCTTCTTCTTGGGATAAAACATCGGCGGTGAAATGATTTTTGATTTCGGTGTCAGTCCTCCAGAGACACAGAAATGTTTTTCTGCAGCAGCAAGTCTGACACTGTGTGCAGAACATTCACACTTTCTCTCTCTCTCTGACCCTGTAAAACTTCAACTCTTCACCTACATACAAACATGCAGCACTGACACGTTTGTATTAACTAGATGAAGGCATTCTGGGAAATGTAGGAAACCCATAAATTTCACAGAGGAGGAGGAGGAAGAGGCAGGTTGAGGCAGAGTAGGAACACCACAGAGTAAATGAGTGTATGTCATCACCACATAACTCCTGGAATGCTTCATATAAATACTGGACTGTTGAACATGGAGGTTGTGTGTATTGTCAGAGGGAGGACGCAAATCCAAACTATTTGTACAACAAATCTGTCTGTAACGGAGCAGAGGTTGTAACTCCTGAGTTACTCCCTCTCGTCAGTGAAGCCGTAAAGCGGTGGAATAAAGATTAATAACCCGAGCATCGTTCTTTCTGCCAGAGCGGACCGCGGCCCTCGTTATCTGTGCAGCTGAACCAGCAGAGCAGCTGCTGAAAATAGACTCCAGCCCACAGTTAGATCAACAACCTACGAGCCAAATGAATGAAACCTGATGAAGGAGTGGCAGCGGCTTCAGTCAAACACAGGCCAGAGAAAGTGGCTCAATGTCCAGTTTACACTCACTTCTCTGGCTCTGAGCGCAGAGAGCAGGGAGGGAGGTGGGTGGGAAAATCTGTCTTCTTCCCAGAATAAGTCACAATATCTGTGTGTGTGTGTGTGTGTGTGTGTGTGTGCGCGTGTGTGTCTGTGTGTTTTCAATTAGTTTCAAGTGGTAAAAAAGTGTAAAACAAAGGTGAGTTAACGATCTGCTGATGACCGTGATCAGAGAAATACATTATCTAAAATAAAAACATGTTTTCAAATGAAAGTCCACGTTTATCTTATTTACCTGTGCGTCAATTTTCATTAAAAAAATGTATGTAAAAAAAAAAAAAGAAAAGAAAACGTTTCTTCCTGCTGAAAAACATTAATCATTGTAGTTTCCAGTAAACCTGAAGTTCATGATGCAACAAGCTCAGTTCAAAAAAACTAAACAATTTCCTGTTTTGGAAAGTGAAGAGACACGTGAAGAAAATGCAGATGTGCTGCTGATACTGTGTCTGAGTCTGTCAACACCTCCTGCACTTTAATATTCACAGCACATAGAAACTCACTTTTGAACAGGATTAAATAAAACTTCATCAATCATCGGCTTCGGTCAAACCAGGTCTGTCACTGTTTTCATCTCAGTCTGCAGCAAAATGTATTTTATGTGTGAACTTTACATGTGTAGTGTTGTGTTGTGACTGTAATGTTTTATGTTGATGTTAATTTCACCTGCTCGGGGACTATGAGCACTGAATGAGCATTTCTGCCACAATCCCACACGTTTACATCCTGTATTTTGTGCAGATGTTCATTAACATAAATAACCTGCTCAAACAAACAAACGAATAACTTTATTAAATGAAATAAATTTGCCACATTGTGCAACAAATATTGACTTCATTATTATTATTATTATTATTATTATTATTATTTCATGAACAAACAGGAAGTGAACTGTAGTAAAGTTAAACCCTGCAGTGAAGCTCTAACACCCTGAGACGTGACACGACCTTCATCATCCTCACGTCCTCCTCGTGTATCAGCTGTTTCTCACCTGAGTGATATCACTTTACATCAGCGGGAGAGACTGTGGTCACATTCACACTGAGACACTTTCTCACCATCACTCCATCATGCTGACCTGCACATGAACGAGCGGACTGATGGGGAGTCACTGATCGCTGCGGTCTTTACAGCGTGTGTGTGTGTGTGTGTGTGTGTGTGTACGTCGTTGTTGAAGGGAAATTAAAGGATTAAATTCTCCTTGGCTGAGAAAATGTTCCTGTGTCAGACTCTAACCTGCAGAAACCAACACACACACCTGAGAGTGAGCGAGTGTTTTCTGAACCAAACGCACCTCTGTGGTTCCAGTGTGGTTCAGATGGTTGAGACTCGTGGTCAAAGTTAAAAGACAGAAGACGTGAATGTTTCTGTGTCGAAGGCCCCCCCCCCCCCCCCCCCCCCCCCCCCCCACAGTATATCTACCCTCATTTCAGACGCAGAGCTCGACCTCACGTCTCTTCTCTCTTTTAAATCTAATCCACAGAACTCAATCCAGTAACTTCTTACCCCTCCATGTCCCTCACCTTCACACTGACACTGGCAGAGCTGGTTTCAGGTGCGACTCACCTTCTCAATGGACTGAACTCAGGAGTTTTACATTTCCCTTGGAGATTTTAAATCTTTATTATTTGATGTATTTTATGACTGTTGTAAACGTTAAGTCTTGTGACTGTCTCTCGTTCTCAGGTCTCTCTTACTCTCAGACTGTCTGATTAAATAATAGATAGAGAAGATAAAAGATTAAAAAAATAAATTAAAATAAAAGGATCCTGTTTAGAAAAAAGAAAGAGAACACAAAATCCTTAGAAGACAAAAACTAAAAAACTAAAGACTAAAATCTCTTTAGTTTTTGTGACTAAAACTAAAACACACTAAAGACTGAAAGTAAATCAGGTGCCAAAATGAATACTGACACACACACACACACACACACACACACACACACACACACACACACACACACACTCTGTTTGTATTGTACTGTATCTGTTACTGGAAACAGAGAACATGTTTGATAATTACTGCGTGTGTTTCACCGCTCAGCGCGGCGTCCAACTTCACCTCATAATGAAAAATAGGGAAAATATTGTGAATCTAAATATTGGCGTGTCTCGCAGCAACAGCTGTGGACGTATTTCCATCATCTGTAATGACTTGCTTGTATTTCAGATTCTCTCAGTGTTGGGTTGTGAAAGCGCTGATAAGCCTCTCCACTCGGGGTCGGCTCGTACGCGGGTCAGAGGATCGCCGCTACACGTCTTCAGCGTTCACAGGTTGGAATATGTTAATGAGGCTGATCTGCACCAACAGCTGAGTTTGAGTTTAAAACCAGGATCCACATTCATCAAACAGCTGGGAGGGAAATTTTAAACGAAATGTAAAAATCCGTCTCTTTGACTTTGACTTCTAAACTCACTCGTTGTTTAATGCGAGAACGTCTGAGCAGGATTTAGAAGACAGTAGTTATGAGTCTGATATTCATCCTGACGCCTCCAGAGCTCGAACACTGAGGCTGGACTTTAAGGTGAAGGTGAAGTTTTAATCAGATTCTTAAAAACCAAATCAAACACAAACTTTCTCAACAACAGAAGCCGTTTGTCAAATTTCTTTCCACTTAGAAATGCTCGTTTTGTACAGACGATATAATCTATGCTGTCATTGGTCAAGATGATGATGATGATGATGAATAATGTTTTTTTTTCTTAAATCTGTTTTAATGCCTTATTGCCTTTATTCTGACGGTAATGAGACGACAGGAAATGAGGTGATGACATTTTCTCTGATGTGACTCCGGTTTGGTTTATATCATCTTTCATTTAATTCACTGTATTATATCACATTGTGTCATTATTACCATTATTATTAATATTAATTTCACGTTAATTGAAACTTTAAATGTTAAAAATTTCCCACATAGAAAAATTAATTTCTTAAAATCTGAAATCTGAAAGTTTTCCCTCTTTAATCATACATGTGATTAATTATGTGACACTCTTATATTTCACTACAGGTAGACGTGAGTCTCCTGTTTTATTCCTGCTCTTGTTGAATGTGAGAATCTGATTTAAGGATCTAATCTCATCGTCTCACGTTCAGGTAGAAACGACGGTTCTTCTTCTACCTGTTCTTGTCTCGCAGTCGACTGATCTCGGACGTCTGCAGCAGCAGCTCTTTCTCCAGCTTGTTGGTGGACAGAGAATTCTCCAGAAGCTGGATCTCTATCCGAGACGTGTGGTTCAGCACCTGGTGGAGGGAGCGGCATTAGACAGAGCATCTTCCTTTAAAGTGACGGGATCGGTGAAGCGGCGACTCGTTAACCTTGGCCTCCACCACGTTGAGTTTGCGCGTCTGCTCCGCCGTGTGCGTGAGGATGTTCGTCCCGATCTGCAGCATGGCGGCCGTCTGGTTGTGAACGACGTGGGACGGCACGTTGGTGACGTCTCGTCTCAGGCTCTTCTGAACGAAGCTCTCCAGCTGCAGACACAAGAAATACAGGAGGTGGATTATTAAAGGTAAAAGTGAGAGGACAGACGGAGAGGAGGACGGGAGCAGAAAAACACAGAAAGACTTTATTTATTTTTTCCACAGCAGTTAGTTTGACCTTTACCCTCATGGATTAAACAGGAACGACTTCCTTGTGGTTGTTCACCTCCACCAACCAGTCAAGTTGCAGGAAATATGGTCACAACCAGGAGTAGTAATAAATCTATAAAATGATTCATTCATTTTACAATAAAAAATTGTCATTAATAAAATTTAAAAATGTATGAATCTATAAATAAATACACTAAGTTACAAAGTCATAGTCAATAAAGAGTAATTATAAAAAGACTTTAATCCATCAATAATTAGTTCAAATTAAAAAGGTTTTATGAAAACAACATTAAACAGTCAATAACCACATCATTAAAAATACATTGATGACATGATCGTTAGGTTTCAGTTGGCCTTACTGTAGCAGTGAGTTTCTGTATTTGAAGCACTAACACCACCCGCTCAGTGCATCAAGTTCACCGAATCAAACATGCATAATGAAACATGTCAGGAGGTCTGGTATATAAAGACGCAGGTCTCTCTCCATCTCTGGGAATATCAGCCGATGCCAACTCGCACTGCTGCGCCGTGACCTTCGACCCCTGACAAATAAATAATCTATCCATCTATCCATCCCTCCAGCTCCACGTCCCCAGGATATCATGCCACTGAGAAGCACAGGGAGTTGATAAATATACCACTGCACCAACAAACAGATTGGTCCCAGCGGGACGCCCAGTCACCAGTGAGGCTGTTTGATGAGTCACAGGGAGGGAAAGTTCAGGCCACAACGCCCAGATCACACTGGAGTTCGGTGTGGGTCACTTCTCTGGAACAGGCTGGACACACTGAACAACATCTTCATTTTTTTACTCCACTACAGTTAAAAGACAAATATTGTTTTGACTCCACTACATTTCTATGAAGCGCTCTTACTTTGAGTCAGTCAGTGATTGAATTTTACTTTATTTTGAAAATATGATAACCCATACACTGAGTTCATCACAGGAGAGAAATCAATCACAGTGATGTCTGAACCCGTCAGTGTCCTGACGATGGCGACGTCAGATAAAGACGAGGCAGAAGATTCTTCAGCAGAGACCTGATCTGATCTGAAGTCTGTGTTTCAAGCTTTAGAAATAAAGAAAGATTCATTTAGTTTGAAATGTCTGTTGTGTTTACCACGACCAGACTTCATCACTGACTAAACATCATGTTCTGTCCAACAGAAACTTCCAGGTAACGTTCGTTTAACTCAAGATAAACAGCTTCTAGTAACTGGCTGCTGTTTCGTTGATTCAGTTGTGTTGTTATGGTCATTCCTACAGGCTTTATATTCTCCAGGTTCAACAGTCAGTCAGTCAGTCAGTCAGTCAGTCAGTCAGTCAGTCAGTCAGTCAGTCAGTCAGTCAGTCATTACTCCAGTACTTTACATGAAGTAATAATCTGACTGAACCACGTTCCCTTGTGTTGATCTGTACTCTGACTCCAGTAATGCAGGTGTGTTTGTCGTCCTCTGCTCTGAGGTGGATTTTCTTTTAACTCAGTAAATGTGAGAGTTCATGAGAAAACAGGGACAGTGTTGAAGCTGTGATGCTTTCACAAGGATCATGGATCTGGACCAAAACTAATCACTTGTTTCTGAATTCTCAGCCAAACTTGGCACCGAGTTTCAGAGAAACTGACAAACAGAGAGAAGATTGAAACCCTCCTTCGTCAAGATGATGAAATGAAGGTTTGAATCCCGCTGAGAGCCGATGAAGGTCGATGCTGACTGAGACTTGTCTGACAGCCGAGTCATTTTTCATACGCGCTGACTAATCTTCCAGTTTCACCAACATTATGTTTTGATGGTTTTTATTCCTTTAAACTGCTGATGTTATCCTCGCTCACTGACTTTATCATATTCATGGTTCCTCATGCATGCCCACGGCACTATTACTCATTTTCACTGAGCAGTTAGTTACTGCAGTGTTATTATGTTTAGTCTGCTTCAATTCAGATTAAACCGGCATCGCTCTGTTCAATCAGAAAGAACGATTTCACGAGCGGACAGATACGAATCGCAGCGCTCACAAATCCAAGCCGCTTTCTGGAGAAACTTTTGAGTGAGCGGGTAAATTGGGCAAACCTGGAACGGGACGGAGAAAAACAGACGCCGTGACGCAGTGAGACGTTAATCAAATAATCAAACGGGGAGAAAACGGCTGGAACGAGCTGCTCAGTTTCTGCCTCCTGCTTCCTGAGATGAGGAGAGATAAACTCTGATGAAAGGCACAACCTCCACCTGACTGCACGGGGGGGGGGGGCTGCTACACTGCTCCAAATATACAGTATGAAGAAATATATCAAATATATATTGTCCTTGTGAGAGAGTGGTGGAGGGAATAAACAAGAGAAAAGGAAAAAATGAGATTAATCGAAAGAAACAAGAAAATCAAAGTTCAGCAGGTTCTTTTTGTTTTTATGTTTTGTTGAGTCTCTGGAGACACAATGTGCTGACTCTTTAATTGACCCTTACTTCCTGGTGTAGGATTAAAGCTACAGACACACACACACACACACACACCCACACATACATACAGACACACACACACACACACAAACACACTCAATACATAAAAAGTCTTCACACAAACCAAAGACACACTGAAACTCACATATTCACACACAGAAACTGGCATACACCCATGCACACACACACGCACGCACACACACACACACCCATGCACACACACACGTGCACACACACACGCATGCACACACACACGCACGCACACACACACCCATGCACACACACACGCCCATGCACACACACACGCATGCACTAAAAATATCAACGACGCAGACAACCCCACGTATGGAGGGGCTTGTTTCTGAGATGCTAACTCAAACCACATGTTGGCTTCGCTGTGATCTGGCCCTCTGTGTGACTTCACAGAGGGAGGGGGGCAGGGAGGGAGGGTGGGAGGGGGGACACGGTCACCAAACAGCCCTGATAACGAGGCTGACGCACAGGCAAGTAGCACCGATAGGGATCTGGGGTAACAAGTGCAGCGCGGGTCGCTGCAGAGTGCTGGGCTCCGGGCAGATCTGGAGCTGAAGAGACTCTGAGGGACTGAGGACGATCGACTGACACCGAGCTCGTGGTGTCGGATCAGGTTCTGGCTCTGTAAACGTTTCTTACTTTCGATCCATGCTGCCTGTAGGTGTAACAGTGTTGGTCGGTCCACAGTTACTGGTTACAAAGTTTTCCAGCTCCTCTTTGGAGACCGCAGGTGTTCCCAGGCCAGATCTCTCCGGCGTGTTCTGGGTCTTCCTACTAGTTGAACGTGGCATGAAAACCTCCATAGGACGGCGCCCAGAAGACGTCCCGATCAGACGCCTGAACCTCTTCAACTAGATCCTTCTGGACAGACGCTACGTCCAGATGTCAGAGCTCCTCACGATATCTCGGAGGCTGAGCCCGGAGCGCTCACAGAGGAAGCCCATTACTCGGTTACTATCCGAAGCTCATGACCACAGGTGAAGGCTGGAGCGAGGGTCCGCTGGTAAACTGAAAGGTTTGCCTTCAGCTCCGGTCACTCCGTCAGTGTCACGCTGTGATCTCAGGGTCCATGACACCCTTCATCTGTATCAGTCTGTCTTAACGAGCTTAACGAGGTGACTTTGAATCAACATGGAAAGACGGAAAAAATAATTGTTTACAAAAGGAAACAATATTTAATTCTTCATATAAAGATTTAAACTTCCCAAAACAATTGTATGGTCCTTCACTCCTTCATATATACACTGACTCACACACACACACACACACACACACACACACACACACACACACACACACACACACACACACGCACACACACAGTAGAAGTGGACTTGTTTGTGTGGCTTCAGTTACATTCACATCTTTTCTCGGGGTTTCTTCGGTGCAGATGTGCAGAGTCGTTGTTTTACCACACTGTGTCTCTCAGTCTCAGAGCGTCCAGATGTTTTGGCAGCAGGACGAGCCAACAGCCTCAGGCTTGGTTTGTGAGCGGCTGCACTTGACGTACTGTTTTATGGAGCCAGGCTTCTACTCTCTGTCCTCTCCCCGTTATCCTCAACACCTTTCACTCCTTCTCTCTCTGTGTCTCTGTCACTCGTGTGAATATGAATTTATCTCGAGCTGTGCAGGGAATCGTTGCTTTAACTTCCTCCGTCTCTTCATTTCCATCTCTCTTTCCTCCTGTCGTCCAACAGCGTCAGTAAGAAGTTTCATGTGCATCTGTGGTTGAGACGACTGTAATGAATGTGTGCACTTGGTTGTGAAGTTGTGGAGGTATTACTTCCTCTGTGCCTGCGCTGCGACACCTGGTGAACTTCAGCCTTTGTGACACAGACAGGAATCCCTAAAGGTGATGTGGACAGATGGAGAGAGATCTGAACATTTCATTTCCTCATGAAGCTGCACATGTGGTTTCTCTGTGGTTTGTGCTTCCTGAGAGATCTGAGGTTCATCAGGATAAGAGCCGCCACGATGAACACGAGAAACAAGTCTCTCATTTAGGACTGACTGGGGGGCAAAGCAAACCTACATCAGACAACATCACTGCTGTCAAGTGAAAACTAAATTTCTCTAAGATGATTGGTTTTCGGGTCGTATGTGAGACAAGCACTTTACTCCACAGGCCTGTATTTGTTACTAGTTTGAAAATGACTCTTAATGTCATATTTCTATGAAAGAAAACAATTCAACTCTGAATCCTAGATCGTGAAAGAAGTGTGAGGTTCACATCCACAGAGTCGTGTCAGTGGTTTAGAAAACAAAAGTACTTTGGTTCAGGTTCGGGAAAGATTTCCAATACTTCATACATTTATGTATCAGAAATTATTTATTTCTTCTTTCCTCTCCCATTAATCATCTCTCAAACCCTGAGATGTATCCTGTGACCCCC